TCACTTACCATGCGTCCACCGTTCAATCACCTAATAAGAGACATGCCTTGGATCCTTGGTGTGGTTATACAAGGTACCTCACCAAAGCAGAAGAAAATCGAAGTCTCCGATTGGAGTCGCCCTACCTGTTCATATATATACACTTGACGAGCTGACAGAACTTTTTTTCTTATTTTAACGTACCAGTGCCCACATATCCAATCTTTCTTATCGGGAGATAGTTTTTTTTTTACTTATCCCAAAGGATACCCCCGAATTTTTAACATCACGGCGTTCAGATGAAGAAGCTTAAGGACTTATTACTCAGTTCCGTCCTCATACTCACGTTACGAAACTAAATCATTCTCCAGCCATTCGTCCACTGTTCATAACCTAAATCTCCCCTATCCCCCCTCAAAAAACAATTTACGGTCACGTGTTGCAATTTCGCAAATTCCGAAAGCGATGATTCCAGGCCGGTCAAATCAAGCACATCCCCCCACGTGGACGACGAGCCCCCTTCGGCGGACCGGGTCAGGTCAGACGACCCCCCGCCCGCGCGCGAATTCCACCGGAGCCCCGAGCTGGCAGGCGGGGCCCACGCCCCGAAGCCGTTCTCGGTCTAACCCCGGCACAGCTCAGCACTAAACAATTTCACCGCCTACTTGACCCGCCACCTCCCTCCTCTCTGAGGCCGAGTCAACCGGTCAAACTTACGTATATATATAATAAACACACCGCATCGAAGACCGGACCGAGCCTCGGTTCCTAAGACTGCGCTCGCCGTTTCACGCTGTCCCTCCCTCCCTCCTCCCTTTCTCCCTTTCCAAACGTTCAACGGTCAACGTTCAACGGGAACCACGTCACTGTTCACTACCTTCCTACCACGAGATCTCCCCCGCATGATTTTGAACGATCCCGCCTGCCGAAGTTTTGACCCCGCGTTTAATCGGTTCGTTTTCTTCCCCACGACGACCCCCCCCCCCCCCCAAATTCCCTTATAAAAACCCATTCGATCCCTCCCTTCTTTCTCTCAGCAAACCACGAAACAAGCACGAACGCACAAACACACACAAAAGACACACGAAACACGAACGCGTTCGTTCGTTCTCTCGAGAACCCCGAATCTTTCCTCTCTGCCTGCCTGACGCCGAGGGACGGCAACGACAATGGTCTTGCCCTGGGGAAGACGAGGTGCGGGCCGCCGCGCCGGCAAGAGCAAGGCGCGCATTGATGCGGCGAGCCTCGACACGGAGGTCGCCGTCCCCATGCCCTTCCGGTGCCCCATATCGCTGGACCTGATGAAGGATCCCGTCACGCTGCCCACCGGGATCACGTACGACCGCAGCAGCATCGAGCGGTGGATCGAGGCCGGCAATGCGAGCTGCCCCGTCACGAAGCAGCCGCTCGGCGGCGGGGGCGGCTTCGACCTCATCCCGAACCACGCGATAAGGAAGATGATCCAGAGCTGGTGCGTCGAGAACAGCTCCCTCGGGGTGGAGAGGATCCCCACGCCGAGGATCCCCGTCGCCCCGTACGAGGTGTCGGAGGCCTGCAAGAGGATCGGTGCCGCCGCGAGCCGCGGCGACGCGAGGAGGTGCTACGAGCTGGTGGGGAAGATCAGGTCTTGGGTCAAGGAGAGCGAGCGGAACAGGCGGTGCGTGACGGAAGGCGGCGCTGGCGATGCATTGTCGGCGGCGCTCGAGTTGTTCGGGAGCGCCTCGACGGAGGGGCAACACGATGGGCTGCTCGAGGTGATCGTGTCGGCATTGGCGCACGTGAGGCCGGTCAGCGAGGAGGGTCTCGCCAGGCTAGGATCGGCAACGTCCTTGCATTGCATCCTAGGATTCCTGAACTGCGACGACCTGTCGGCGAGGCAAAACGCGGTCCTCGTGCTAAAAGAAGCCATCTCGTCGGATCGGATTAGGCACAGGGCACCAGTCGAAGGCATCGAAGAGGCATTGGTGAGGATGATCAGAGAGCCAATTGGCCCAACTGCAACAAATGCTACTCTGGTGGCCCTGTTCAACATGATCTCTCACTCTCCAAACGGTGACAAGACAAGGTCGAAGTTACTGCAACTGGGTCTTGTCCCTCTGCTGATAAACCTTCTTCTGGACTTGTCGGACAAAGGCGTGTGCGAGAGGGTCTTGGGAGTTCTCGACCTCCTCTGCGAGAGCAGAGAAGGGAGGGACGAGGCCTTCGGCCATGCCTTGACCATGCCCATCTTGGTCAAGAAGATCCTGAGGGTGTCCAATCTGGCGACGGATTTTGCGGTTGCCATCCTGTGGAAGCTGTGCAAGAACGAAGAGGGCAATGAGAGGAGAGCTCTGATAGAGGCGATCCAAGCGGGTGGGTTTCAGAAGATGTTGGTGCTGTTGCAGGTGGGTTGTGGGGAGGGCACGAAGGAGAACGTGAGAGAGCTGTTGAAGCTGATGAATCTGCACAAGGACCGGGTGGATTGTGTGGATTCTTCTCTGGATTTCAAGTATCTGAAAAGGTCATATTGATTGGCCGGCCTAGTTCTGACCCATTCTTTCATTAGGCTAGATCAGAAAAGAAACGATGTACAAAAAACACACAGGAATTGTAAAACTGACTCTTTTAGTTAGATCAATTGAGATTAATACAAAGCTGTTTTCATCACGAATTGAAGACTTTCTCGCTCTTTTTATACAATGAATTCGACAGGATATATATGAATTTTAGTATGTACATGATATACTCGAAGAATGCCAAAATTGGAAAATTGAAACTACAATAGAGACCAAGAAAGTTCATAAGTTTTACGCTGTTCTTTTACACACAAATCCTGAGCACAGCCACATTTGGCATGACATGTCGCCTCCTACGGAGGATCAAATTGCTAGATGGACTAATGTTGCTTCTGGTTGTTGCGTATTTGTGCTCGAAATTATCATGCGCACTGATTGTACCCTCTTTCTCTCACATAATTGCATATCTTGATCGTATGGATCTGCAAATATGTGATCAATTATTACAAAGCATTACACCATAGAGGGAAATATAGCCTGAGCAAATCCATAAAGAAGCTAGATGACATGATACCAGAATAATGGGAAAACAAAGAGAAAGACTTCATTAGTAGCACATATTTGGCTAGGGCATCAGCACACCGGTTCACCTCGCAGTAGCCTATCTCGTAGCGGCACACTGGATGACCGGCACGTCTGTGAATGTTTGGAGCAATGGCCTGCAATCACTGGTGAGTACAAAGTTTGGGTGAGTACAATTTCAGCATCCAATTCGAGTACTTGTGCTGTTGGATGCTATGAACTTTAGCTAATCTGAGCCCATCAAGAAGTTCCATAGTTCTGCCACCACGCTGGCTGCAACGCCAACGTTTTCACTGAACCGGGGCAATCCAATTCCCCGGAAATTTCTCAATTACCCACCTACACCTGCTTCCTCAGGATTTTCTTACGAAGGCTCCTCTGTATTCAACTTAGACCATTCTTGCAGTGGTGGTCTCCAACCGACTGAAATGGTCTTAGAATATGTATTGCCTCGTGATAAATTATGATAGGTATAATTGCCAATGGAGTTTTGCCAGGAGTGCGAGATTTCGAATTTAGTCTTTTGATGGCAGGCTTGAACCTCCTCTCTTTTTGGCATGGCTACCGCATCCTAATTAAGCAAGCGGGTTTTCTTTTTCTCAACGGTATCTCCCCATAAGAAATATCTAGTTATTTGATCCATTTTTTCACTAACTTTCTTGGGAATTTCGGTTACCTGCATTTATATGAGTCGGTATAACTGAGAGAACTGATTAGATGAGAGTGACGCGAATTGAAATTTTGTGGTCTCATCTTCTCTTGAATAATGGAAAACCAAGACCCTAGTTTCTTGGTTTTCTCGATACCAAGAATTGGGAAATAGTAGCTTTTTAGTGAAGATGGTATTTGGGAGGAGAAGAAAGCTTGTGATTTCTCACTTTGGATGACGTATCCTGATTCCAAGCAGAATTCAGCTAGTGTACTTGCGATGGATCGACAAGTCCTTTCACTTTTGCAAAGAGCACTAGGTCATCTGCAAAAAAACATGTGGGAAAGTTCAAAACAGTTTCTCCCACCAGAATCTGTTTCCACTCTTTCGACTCAATGGCTTCAGTATGAAGGTACGAGAGATTTGAAGGCACGAGATGAATAGGTAAAGGAGAAAGGGGGTCTCCTTGTCTCTATCCACGAGTGGGGAGACATGTAAGCTGGTTTCTCTCCGTTTATTAGGACAGAGTGTTCAACTGAGCAGGTTACACAGCTCAACCGGAGCTGTGATATTGTTGGGGACTGGTAGAAGTGGAGCATCTGACGGATGAAGGACCATTCTAACCCATCATAAGCTTTAATAAGTGGGTCATTTCCAATGGCCATAAACCCAGATCGGCCGGCAAAGGCTTACGGGTCAGTAATGAGCAGCGGTGGAGGGAGATATAATCTTTGGAACCAGGCAAATCTGAGTAAGGTTCCATCCCGGTCGATGTGACCTACGTGAAACATATGTCTAATTTCTAGAAAAATATTTCTCTGGACAACCGCGAGGTACAGGTGTCTACCAAGGTTTGAGGGACCGAAGAGCAGTGTTAACATCTTCCACAGGAGGAGCAGATCAAAGTTGACTGCAAGTATGTTAACAGCAGGGAAGCTTTCTGGAAGTGTGGTTGTGAAAACTTCGGTCGAACGTTGTTGAGTGAAAAAGTTTAGGCCTTTAATGAGGAGTAATAAAAGTCACCTCAAGATTTTCAAAATTCGCTTTAAGTTAGCTTATCGAAAATTTGCTTTTAAGATATATTGAAACTGGGGAATTGGTAAGCGAGGATTCGTGAATTGTGGGGGATATGCACGTGATCTCTTCGTTCTATGTGCGTTTGAAGTACCCATCTACAAAAGAAAGTGCTATTTTTCTTGATGAGATGAGAATCCAAGCAGAGCCACAGAGAAATCTTTCTGTTCTTGCCAGTCAACTGTGGATTCTGCATGGCAAACAGAGAAATGGCGTAAACATTGGATTACAACCGACAAGTTTTGAGTGATTAGCAAGTAACAAGTTTAGATTTTTTTTTTTTTTTATACTTGTACGAGAAGGCTTTTCTTGTTATTAAGGGATGCTAGCTGGTGATTATATTAAGTAGGCTAATGCTTGCACGGACGCAAAATTCCGGGTCTTTGGTTTCCTCTGCGTTCAAATATGAATCGAATAGGAGATCCGCAATCCATGGATGCATGTCTGCTGCAGAGAAGAAAAGAGCCGAGAGTCTGAACAACACAAACTTCATGGAACTTCCCCAACCGTTGACCTTCCACAAGCTTCCAATACTTAACCTCACCAAAGCATCCATTACTTTAATTGCTTCTCACCACTATGACTCACCTCTCGCTCATTTTTTTTTTATTGTAAAGTGATCACATCCATGCCTGCCTAAATGCAACTCTGGTTTTCAGTCAATGCTGCTTCTACCGTTCCATATACTACACAGCACTTCAACCCTGCAACTGCTAAAACCATACACACCGCGGAGTCCATTTCTGAGTGAAACCATTGGTGTGCAAAACAAGTAAGGACTTGCAAACGCGGAACGCATTGGATTGGAGATGGACTCACCTCGCCATCATAAGCCCCGCTCTCTCTCCACCAGTCTGTTCTTCGTCGTCCTCCTCTCCACCAATCTCCTCACCTTCTTCCTCTCCACCACCTTCTACTCCCCATGCTCCCTCGCTTCCTACTTCCTGGCCGCCACCGTTAGAACCACCTCGACAAATAGTATTCCCTCCACCACAGTCTCGCACGACGAATTCAAACGATCCGACGCCACCAAAGATCTCCCCCCCGAGTTCCTCGCCTTCACATCAGGCCACTCCCTTCCCTTCGGCTTCAACTCCAACTTCGACTCCGATACCATCTTCCCTCCAGTTGGCAGCGGCTGCACAAGGTACCTAGACGATCTCCGCCGCTTCATGACGTACCCCGCCAATGGCTCCTGCCCCGATGACGAGCTCCTCACGCAGAAGTTACTCCTACATGGCTGCGAACCCCTCCCCCGCCGCCGCTGCCGCCCCGCTGCGCCTCCTGACTATGTTGAGCCTTATCCTTATCCGACGTGCATGTGGACAACTCCTTCAGATAACTCCGTGGTGTGGACCGCCTACACGTGCAAGGACTACGACTGCCTCATCAACCGGAAGCACCGGCAGAAAGGCTTCGATGACTGCAAGGACTGCTTTGACCTTGAGGGGCGGGAGAAGTCCCGGTGGACCACGACCGAGAGCCATGGCGGCCTCGACTTCACCATTGACGAAGTCCTTGCAACGAAACCGCCGGGGACGATCAGGATTGGGCTAGATATCGGCGGTGGGGTGGCCACGTTCGCCGTCCGGATGATGCAGAGGAACATAACCATTGTGACCACCTCCATGAACCTGAATGGCCCTTTCAACAGCTTCATTGCTTCCAGGGGAGTTGTGCCTCTGTACATGAGCATCTCCCAGAGGCTGCCAATTTTTGACAACACACTTGACATCGTGCACTCGATGCATGTGTTGAGTAACTGGATCCCAACAACACTCCTGCATTTCCTGCTGTTTGATGTGTACAGAGTGTTGAGGCCTGGAGGGTTGTTTTGGCTGGACCATTTCTTCTGTTCCGGTGATCAGTTGGAGAAACTGTATGCACCGGTGATTGAGAGTGTCGGCTTCAACAAGCTGAAGTGGATCGTGGGGAGGAAGCTTGACCGCGGGCCCGAGCTTCAAGAGATGTACCTCTCTGCTTTGCTAGAGAAGCCATTGAAGAACTCGTGGTGACTCACATTTTTTTGCTCTCATGACACTTTCAGTTCAGTTGACTTTTGACTGGAAATTAGTCCCCTGAAGGCTCGTTAGGAAATCAAGGACCAAAGAGTCATAATACACGGGCATGTAATCTTCTACTGTATCTTTGTTTTCTTTTGGATTTTCCTTCTATGGATTATCTCTCTTCTTGAAATCGATACTCTAACGGGAAAACAGGAGCCCCACTGTGCAAACGTTTTGAGTAACAGCTACAGGAGTTTAAAATTGTTTTCATTGCATCAAATCCTGGGCAAATCAAAAGATGAGTAGTTACAAATGAAGCCAAAAATGAGTGTCACCTCAAATAAGCTTCGCATGTCTCGTAATTGTGCCAAGTCTTGAAGGCATACTTGGGACGATTCGCCTCAGGTCAAAACGTCTTCTAGGAGGAGCGGTTCGGCATGCACACCTGGCACTGAGTCAGCAAGCTACATGCTCCAAATGTTAAAACAGATTGCCCCTCTCGGATGCATTCGAACCTGGACTCATATCCATTGAGACCTTCTCTACTCGGAAAGCAGTGGACTTCAAAATATATATGTAAAGAAAACAAATTTGCAGTCACTTCAGAAATTGTGCAGGGTTGCTTTGTCCAGCCAATATCACATGTTAAAAGCTTATGAGCGGACCTGGAACCTGCAGTTATAACCAGTCATGCTCATTCAAACTCGATGCTCTTTTGAGGTCGAAATCTTGACAACTTATGTCATGCCTCACAATCAATACAACTCTTCGGTAAAAAGCAACTGTAATTTTCAAGCATCCAACCAAGCTCCATTTCAGCCGTTTTTGCCAAATAATCATCCTTTGATCATCTATAAACTCTACTACAGTGGGAGATCAAAAGAATGGCTATGGTTGGTATATCTTCTAGTAAAGTCGAAGAGTTCTTATCGTTTTACATGAAAAATAAAAACTGGTGAGAAAAACATTCAACCGTCCATGAAGCAATGAACACGTGGATTAAGGTCTCGACAGCTGTAGAGTGGGATGTTTGGTGTGATATGACTGATTCCCCGAGTCCTGCCAGATTCTACTTAACAAACAAAACCCCATATTAATTGTTGAATCAGAAGCAGAAAGCATCACTAGGATATGATGGCATCTCTATATGGACATAAAAATCATATCATTAACTTTTCTGTTCATCAATTAGACAGAAAAGGCCAGTGTTAATTATGTTACATGTCATGAAAGAAAACTTAACCATTCTGAGATTAACAGATGTCTCTTAACGATGCAAGCTAATTACTGATGAATAAAGGAGAAAGAAATCCAGAGTATTACTTGCCTCGGTTCCATCGCCAAGTCCGTTATATACAATTTTATTTCATAGATAATTCCCGTTCCTACTCTCGTCTTCCTGATAGTGTATACGATCATGCGCTCAGTATCATCTTCATGATCCCTATCACGATTCTTCTTCAATTTCCGGGCAACGCTTCCATTTCTGCAACACCTTGAGATCCAGGACTGATTTTGTTCTGACAAGAAAAATGGCAAGTCTTCCTCCTTCTCAATTAGTGCACCATATGTGAGACAGCTAATGTTTTTGATATTTTCTCTCCTATATTCATGAAACCTTTCATTACTTACCTTCAACTGCTTTGTAGCATCAGATCATTCCTTAAGGCTCCTTGATCTCCTTCTTTATGGGCAGTCAATTTTTTTTTTTATTGTGTAGCATAAACTAAATCAGGTCATGGAAGAACCAATCTATCAATTTATTTTGACTACTTCCTACCCTCCCCAACAGCTAAGAGTTAAAGTGCAAATAATGAAAACAAGATTAAGATCTGTGGCTGTCAGAAATAAAAATTCATTCTTATGCACAGTTGAATTGATAAACTACCTCAGACTTTTTGACCAAAAGAAACAAACACCAGTACAAGTACCGACCTTTTTGTCGTCATGAAATATTTTCACATGAGATTAATATCTCTTGCCAAAGACGACCTTGAAGTTACTGATGTGTATCTTGATTTTGTCGATAAATGATCAGTCGGCATACAGGAGTTCCATTCCAGCATCTCTCCTCTAAGATTCTCATTATATCAAGAGAAATCATTGCATCTGCACATAGATGTAGGATAAAAAATTATTAGTACCGTTAAATATGACATAAGAGATCCAATTTTTCTTTTCTGCAATCAAATGATTAGATAAATCAGATATTTTGACCTGAAACGGCTAAGACCTCTACATACAATGTGTATTCCCGGTGTCTTGTGACATGACTTAAATCCATGAGCATGCCATAGAGATTACTTTCTACGTGAAATACAAATCAGAAATTATCACATATGCAACCTAAGACTCTGTCTTCCTACAATAGAGTCGAAAAATTTACACGGCTTTAGTTTCAGTGTATTTCTGCTATTGTTCTTATGAGCATATATCTAGATATCTTTGCATCACGTAACTGTGAAAACCAAGAGTTGTCGTTTTCCGCGGAGTGGAGCTTGTCGGATAGTCAATGATATGCCCATTTCTCTATATACGACCACTATAGAATAGAAAAGAGCTTTCTTTCAGAATATCTCAAGAAAGCTTTGCATCATATACCTATGAAAACCAACATATACCCATTATCATGAAAATTCGCTTTGCCTGATAGTCAGGTACATGCCTCCTTGTTTCATTGCCATGAGTAACATAATTTTCTGAATGAGAAGTTTCCTTCAGTGGAGACACATAAACTTCATATCCCTTGGACCCTCTTTATAATCTCTCAGGTAGCAAAAAAACCTAACCCGGCAACGATTAAAGTAGGCCTATGAAAAAGGTATAACAGATGGACAAAGTAGAATTAGATTCTCATAAGCTGTATTTTCAATGAATGATAGCGAAGAGCACCAACCTCAGTAAGAAGAGTGAGATATAACAAACATAATCTCTAGATAGGTTTCATAGATACCTGAACCTTAAGCTGACTCCCCCACAAAATGGATTGATCCCCTGAATAAGGAGCAGCTTTCTTGAAGCAGGCATAACCATTCTTTTATTCAATAAGATCTTAAGCTCCAGCTTCCCTTCCATGCTTTTTATCCAGAACATGAGTTATGATATATTTCAAAATGTTGATAGATTTCTTTCGGTTCATATTATTCCTCTGTCCTGATAGCATCTGTATAGGTTCTAATTTTCGCTTAGAGTGTTTTTTCTATCAAATTTTGCAAGGGAGAGAAAAGGGTAAAGTTAAATGCACATTGTCTAATTAACATGTCTCTTTAGCAGGCTGATACTGAAAACCATCGCAAGAAGCAACACCCAGAATGGCTCGACTCTTTCCTCCAGAAGACTTTCTTCGAATCATGTTCAGCGCACCCAATTCGTAGGAATGAGTTAAATAAGTATTGCATCAACTGTGATTCATCTGCTTGTCAGTACTGCATCTCTTCAGGAAGTCATCGCCAACACAAGATACTTAAAATCTATAGACATGTCTACAAGGATGTTGTCTCCCTCTCCTCCATCGAAAAGCATATCGATTGCTCCAGAATACAGGTACCTCCTTTATACTCTACAATTGCAAGTTTCAACACTCATCAATGGTATTTTAGCTAAGTAAAGGATATTTGGTGATATATACGCGATTTGATGATAGACTTTTGCTTCGAAAAAGACTTGTTGAACCTAAATTTTATTAGGGAAAATTGTGGATGGTTCACTACTCTATTTAAGACATCAAGTGTGCGATGTGTCTGCAACAAGTTGTGATCTTGTCCTCTGTAACACTGGAAGGTCATCGTTCTATTAAAAGCTACACCTAACTGCAGAGGTGGATTGTTTTACTATTTAGCTAGAAGAAATGCAGATGTAAAGCATGTGATAGCTCTAGGAAAGGTTAAGTGGGTGTTTGGGGTGACTCCAACTTTTACCCATTTTGCCTCAACTTTTATTTTTGACGGTTGGAATTTGAAATGTTGGAAGCCCTACAAATACTAACTCATTTAGAATTCCCTTTATAATTTCTGTATCAGAAAAAAGAAATGTGTTCATGCTAACTTTAGAATGTATGTGGAAACTAGTTTCTGATTCTTCAGAGTTACTCTGAGTCATATCTTCTACATGTACATTACAACAACACGCATAAGCAGGCCATAATAGTCTTATATGTGGAGGCATACATACAATAATTAAAAAAACAGCACTTCCATATCTTCATCAGGATATATTCAGTTAGAATTCTGCTCATCTGCTGAGGACAAGTTATGATAATTTTCATAATTTCACTCTTACAAGATCTTTGTCCACTCACAGTGGCGCATGCATTAGGCAAAGCAGAAGACACGGTTAACAATTAAAAGAATTGTACCCGGCAAGAAATATAGAAGGAACAGGCAGAAGCAACTTACATTTTTATATCCATCTAATAGGTTTTCTGATAAGTCCTACATGCATGTCAAAAAAAGACTAGGTACCTTTCGATACACAGAGAAAGATAGATGACATTTTGCTTTCGAGATTGCCTGTTAATGGTCGCATTTATAGGATTGCGAACAGATTTCATTTGAGGTGGTAGTATTGTTGATGCTGCCGTTGTGATTCACTGGGACGCCAAGGCATTATCCTTTTTATTTAAGTATATTGTTGTCTTCCAAGTTTCAGCCATACAAGTCCAACAAGAGACTGGTAATGGCCCTGAACCCTCTTCCCCATAGTGGTCCAACAACATCAAATGGTAAGACATCCTGTGAGATCTGCAAGAGAAGATTATCGGAACCTGACCTCTATGATTACTGCTCCATTTCTTGCAAGGTAACCATGGCAGAAATACTGGTCATTTAGAATATGCTTGGCTAAACCATGTGCTTTACGCTGAAGAAATTAAAACTTCAGGTCATGGCTTTTTCGAGAAAAACCAAAGACCAGGAGCCTCCACATCTTTCTGTCCAAGCTCCAACAAAGGAAAATCAAAGCAAAGATGCTCAGCCTAGCAAAGCACCGCGCCGAAGAAAAGGGAAGCCTCAAAGAGCTCCATTCTTTTAAAGTCTCAATGGCACATTCAGAGAAACTTCTTTAGTTCTGTTTGGGACAGGACTTCATAATCTTGGTGGTGCTTTGTAACTGGCTATTTAATTTGGATAATATGCTCAGAATGAACTGAGACTAGTCTGTTATTTCCATCATAAACTGTAGACTCTGTCAACATCAGAGTGGTCTTGCTTGCTTAAACTCTGCAAACCAATGTTATTCATCCTCCAGGCTCAAGTGATTGCCATCACTTTGTGAACTAAACCCATGTTGCTTATATATTGTGATTGCGGTTTTCAGGATATTGGTTGGGTGGAAAAGGTTACCAGTTACCAATCAAAAGCAGGTAAAATCACCGCCACTGTTCTCGTATTTGCTAGAATAATTTGTCAAAACTTCCTTAGGAGGAAGAGATTTCCAAGAGCTCTGAGGACATATGACGTCAACTCTTAAGTAGTAGCAATAGCAAGGTATTCAGACATGATTTGGTTAAGTGGGTAAAGATCAAGTTGCCACAAGCAAAAAGGTGGCTTAGGAATGAAATCTTTGATGGCTGTCACCTGGTTGATCAATGCTAACCATACAAGCAAATCTCATAAGTAGAACTTCAAACTTTCGCGTTCATATTGACGAGAAAAACACATTGTCCCTGATCAGTTTGTGAGGGTCGGCTCACCTAATCAGCCAACACGATCCTGAGATACTCTCGGTATTTACCTAGTAAACTATTCTGTCTGGTTGGGATGAGAAATCCCAAAGAGTACCCTGCAACCAAGTTCTTTATCTCCTAGACACCCGTTAGGGTCCTCGAAAATGAGCCTTGAACTTAGACTCACCAGCAACCGCAATTTCAGCTTCCTTTACGAAGTGACTCGTATAGAGCTCAAACTCAAAGTAGAAGACCCATCACGCGCATACTAGCTGTCAAGCTATTGACTTTCATACACTGTCTCCAGCAAAATCAATATTTGCAGTACCATTGATCAAGCCATGCAGTACATAGTTCTGCACAGACGGACATCCCAAACAGTCACGCGCACTTTTGCCAGTAAAGATGATGAAACACCCCAAGATTAGATTGTTCATTCACAACGTCAAGAAGAATGCGTCACGAGTAGAGACATCACGAGAACTATGAAAACGGTAGATAGAGAGATACCAGACATGGGCATTTGGCAGCGTGAGTGAATCCGAGGTTTCCTTCCCTTTGCATTCACCGATTCCATGGAAACCCAGGAAAGAAAAGGTAGAAACGAATGAAGCCAACAGGGTTCTGCTGATTGTAACGAAAGAGCGATCCCGCCCCAAGAAACAAGTCTACGCGGGTCACTGAGTTAACTCAGAAGCCACAACATATTACTCTTCGGCGACGTCAATTCCGAGAGAAAAATTGCGCCTTGCGTCCCCAATTCATGCCCCTGTTTTTCGTCTGGCCCTGTTTCACTTGGATTTACAGTCAAATCGCCGATTACCGAGCATGTCCAGGGCGCGTTCATGCTGATCAACGAGTGCACTTTCCATCTTTAACAAAAGGAAAAGAGAGAGACTTCTACGAATGCTCTTGATTTTCTCAACGGATGGTAACGAAGTCCGTATGTTCCTACGAACTTGTCGGATGTACATAGCTAGCTTTTCCCGAAATGTTGAGAAGGAAAAGTCGCTGTCTGCAAAAGGGATCGAACTTGGCCCTTAGTTGAGCATTTGCAATACTTACATCTCTGCTAAAGAACCAGCAGCAACACTTACTTGTCTGCTAATCAACCTTTTCATTCGATGTGTTCCTCGATCTTTCCGAAAGTTGTTTAATGCGGTCGATCCGTTGACCAAAATCTGATAAACTTTTCCTCGGTTGTCCTTGTACTTTGTTTATTTGTTCGATCTAATCCCTGATTATATTTTCTTGTTCTCTCGAGATTGCATAATGTCAAATTTAGATTTAACCCCAATATAAAATGTTTCCTAACTATGTTATAAAATTAAAAATCAAACTTATACAACCCAAAAATTCAAGAAATGTATTCTTATACAAAAAGTTATTGTTTTTACATATTATAAGTACTTCCATGTGTAACACAAGAAACATTTTAAATAGTTTAACTAAACGAGTTCGAATGCAATATAAACAAGTAAAAGAGTCAATTCATACTCGACGCGTTTATTATTCATCAAGATCGATCTTACACAAACATATCAACATGTAAAGTGTTTATGTTATGTCAATGGATCGTGATGAAAAGTGAAAACAACTTCCTAAATAACGGTTATAGAAAAATTTTGATGAAGTGAAGACTCTGTTGAAGAGAAAACAAAAGTATAATATTTTAAGGATGAAATTGAACAAGCAAGTAAAATTCAAAGACGAAATTGAAAAAAAAAATTGATTGGTCAGTAATTGACAAATGCTAAATGTTCAACTGAAGAACCAACTCAATCAAAATTTCAAAAACTTAAGGACGACGTTGTAGAAGAAAGTTAAAAGACTACATTGCAGAATAAGTGAAAGTTCCAAGACGATTTATGTCATTATCCCTACTCACATGCACCTGAACATGCTAATCATAGCATCTTTTGATGGAAAGGCAAGAATCAATAGTTCCGTAACATTATTGCGAAATCCGATTCAGAAAAAGAGACAAGAGATCGATGTTACCAACAAAAGTTGGGTACACAAATCAATGTCATTGCATCTTTTGCGCATCCCGGGAGAATAGCTATAGGTGAGAAAGAGTTTCCAAAATCTTCAGTGAAAACTCTAAGAGAAAGCATGGGGAAATGACAGACCCGGTAGCTTGACCACGTTATTCTTTTCTGAACTGTCAACTAGTACAATAAAAACCATTACAGACGATCATGATTAGTATAATACTTGAAAAGCAGACACCGACTTCCCATGGAACCAAAATTGTGGCAGCATTCTGCCATCAGCTCCCTTTGTGCTTTTTACCACAAGCCAAGGTTAGGAGTAAAAATTACAGTCCAGGCAGGGGGAACTGAGTAGTGAGAGCTTCCACCCTCTGACGAAGATCTGAAACCTTTTCCTTCAAAGGGAAGTCAGGAGATTTCACAAAGTTGAGAAAATCTTGAAGCTTTGACCCCAGAGCGGAACGTTTAGCTTCAAGAGTAATTTGAACGCCTTCATTGATAAAATCCGCAATTGCTTTGAACTCTTCCTCGGTAAAACCTCGGGTTGTCATAGCAGGTGACCCAATCCGTATGCCACCAGGGACTAGGGCACTTTTGTCGCCTTTCGAAATAAACATTAATTGATGTTTACTTCGACTGGACTAGCAATTCAATCCTGACAAACACAGATTCGCATAGAAAATACAGTCCAAGCAAAACTAACACAACTTACCAGGAACTGAGTTCTTGTTGAGGGTGATGGAAGCCATATCAAGAATTTTCTCCACCCGAGCACCATCGATCCCCTAGTAATTGAAAATATACATCATGCTCAATAAGATAAAAAGGAATTATGGGCCCTGCAGCAGCTTCCATCCATCTTAGATTGTCAAAAGATTAAATAGGTTTGACGGATTGAACATGGCCAAAACCAGGGGACCGGAAATAACTAGAAGTCAACTTTTTGAAGTCTCCGCATCAAGCTACTTCATTACATAAATCTACAACTTGCTCTGACATAGTTCATACAAAAAATCTGGTTGAAAAGCTTATCAAACTCCGATAGGGAAAAAAAATTAACTAAGAGTTCCGACCCACACCTATCAGTCACTGAAACCAGGGCTTGAGAGAAGAGAGATACTTACTAGTGGCCGAAGATCTACAAGAACAAGGTGATTATCACTCCCACCAGAAACCAGCTTGTATCCTAATTCAATCAATCGGCTTGCAAGAGCTTTACAATTAGAGACAACCTAAGAAAGAAGCAAGAATGTATTGTTAAGAATTTCTCCAGAAGGAAAAACAAAGTGCATCAATAGGACAAATTGGACAAGAACGGACCAGGAAGGAACATCACATACCTTGTTTTGGTAAGCCTTAAATTCAGGCAACTGGGCAAACTTTAAGGAAACTGTAAGTCCCCCGATTGTGTGGTTATGAGGACCGCCCTGCATTCATAAGTCAATGTTGCAATGCCACACAATGACTTGAAAAATGACTAGCGTCTAAGGAACAAATACAACAAACTAAAAGCCAATCCAAAACATCACGTTGAGCTAAAAGACAATTCCAACAAACCTGTAAGCCTGGGAAAACGGCATTATTGATGGCAGATTCTAAATCAACTCCAAGAACTGGTTCCTTCTTGAAAAAGATCATGCCACCTCTTGGCCCTCGCAAGGACTGAACAAGTTTCATATTATCAGACGTTGCTATAACAGCTTGAAGAGAAAACCTCATGAGAGAATTTTAAGTATAGCAATTGTTTTTCATCACAAGTGCACTGATACAGAAAACGTAGGCAAGCGCAGTATACAAAACAAGAGATGACCAGGTAAAAAAAAGTGCACCACCTCTAGCACGCTGACCACCGCGCCCCCCTCCCCCTTCTCTTTTTTTCTTCTCTCTCTCCCTTATTATTCTAACCCCAAAAAAATACAAACAAAGGAGAAGACAAGTAAGAAGAGACAGATGTCAGGCTGTAAAAGTAAGTAGCCTCTAGACATTCAACCACCAGACGTAGAATAGCTTTCTACCAATTAAAAAGTGATAAGACATTCCTTCAACCACAAATGGGCTACAGTTGCATATAAACATATAGGTCTTACAATTAAAAAAGATCTAGAATACGGAGATCAAGGAAGAAAAATTCAGCACCTTGTGTGTTGTCGTTGTCACTATATCGCAGTACTCAAAGGGGTCAGCTACCACGGAAGCAGCAACAAGACCACTTATGTGTGCCATATCCATCATAAGAAAAGCACCAACTGCATCTGCAATCTTCACATGCATATCATTTCAAGATTACTCAGCAGCCAGAGAAGTAAAGTCCGTGCCTCAGTGATGCAATCTAATGGAAAGCAAAACCCATTGGAACAATTGCAACCCTTACCTTCCTCATACGAGCATAGTCAAAATCTCGGGGGTAGGCACTGGCACCAGCAATTATGAGTTTAGGCCTAAAGAGAGTGGCTGTTTTCTCAAGCATGTTGTAATCAACGAGACCTGTTATAGATAGTGGGCAAAATTAGCATGCCAAACTTCAGAGAAACCACTCAAGTATAACCTGGACATCAAGTCGAGACACAGACAAAAGGTACATCACCTGTTGATTCATCAAGTCGATAAGGCATCGATTCAAAGTATATTGATGTGCCAGAAACCCGTCGTTTGGGAGTCATGAAGCCATGAGACAAGTGCCCGCCGTGAGGCAAGTCCAAACCCTAAGTTGGATAAACAAGATAAAACTTTAACTACAATTTATTGAGAAAACCAAAAGAATGGAAAAAAAAAGCATGAATGCAGAGAGAAAGGGAGAGAGAAGGCACCATTATCCTGTCATGGGGTTTGAGAATTGCAGTGTAAACCTCAAAATTGGCAGGAGAACCAGATAAAGGTTGAACATTAACACCCCACTTCTTTGGATCCACGTGAAATGCAGCCAAAGCCCTTTTCTGACATAAGGTTTCAAGCTCATCAATGTACTCATTGCCACCATAATACCTGTGAGATTTATAATAACATTAGCCATGTCACATGCTAAAAAATGGGTAAGAGGGGAAAAAATTACCAGTGAAACTTTAAATTTAAGTAAACTTACCTTTTACCAGGCAACCCCTCAGAATATTTATTTGTGAGGCAGGACCCAACCGCCTCCATAACTGCCCGTGATGTAAAATTTTCTGACGCAATAAGCTCAAGGCTTTTGAACTGCCTCTCCTTCTCCTTGTCAATAATTTTGCGCACTTCAGGATCAGCTTCGCTCAAAGTATAATCTATAAAGCTGCTTCTTCTACCTGATAAAAGCAAGCAAGATTTAAAAGGTTTTGATAAATCAGAATGGCTTACGCATTTAATATCCTTTTTACACATTCAAACAAGGACAATTTAACTTTGGTGTTGAAGAAAAGTCACCTTCTACTTCGCCAACAGGGACAGACACTGAAGAGGGCGGCTGACCAGTAACCAGACTTGCTTTAATATAGGCCAATTGAGGCTTAACTGAAGTTGGATTTACGTGATGAGGAAATCCATTGAAATTAAAGCCTTTTGGGGAAAAGGCAGATGGCTTGGTCCATATAGGTTGTTGCAGAGACCCCGTCACTGCAGCTCCACCACAAGCCTGCATTATGGCTTAAGAACTTCTCTTTTAAGTTGTCCTGTGAATTCCATGGACCGATAAAAGTCAAAACACTTGACTCTTAAGCATGGACTCATGAAGCATCAATGTTTACATAATTATGCATCATATACTTGATAGTACTTACAAATTCAATTAGTTCCTTCCAAAACTACCAATACAAATCTTTTCCTAGTTATATTCTAGTAGTCAGTGACGATCTGCACATCCCCACAGGCAACAGTAACCACTCAATCACGGTAACCAAGCATCAGAGATATAACATAACTGCATATCACTTTATGAGCATATGTATGATCTTGTGGTCAGAGTGCAAGAATTTAGTACCCCAGACGACATCTACAGAATTAAGCCCTGTAGTGCATATCATCTCTAGGCAATCAAGTTTCATCTTTGCCACTGGCTGTATATTGTACACTCTGAAGTATCTAGCGTAAAGGGTTAATTCATAGAGTCCCGGAAAATGCCACTACACCAAAAAAAACCAACTTTTTAACGAGAAAAGCCCGTTGCTTTTTCAATTTATCCCGCATGGCATCAACCGAAAGCAGCAAATGATCTCGTGTTCAGCGTGTAAGAATTTAGTACTCCGAACAACGTCTACAGAGTTAAACCCTGCAGTGCACATCATCTCTAAACAATCAAGTTTCATCTTTTTCACCAGCTGTATATCGTACGCTCTGCAGTATCTAGCGTATGGGTATAATTCATAGAGTCCCGGAAAATGCCACTACACCCGAAAAAAAAAAAAACCAACTTTTTAAATTGAGAAAAGCCCTTTTTTTTTTGCAATTTATCCCGCATGGAATCAACCAAAATCAGCAAGCTGGGCAAAACCGCAGCATTCAGGACAGTTTTCAGATAGAAAAAGAACAACCAGCACAGCAAATTCAAAGACACAGCTCGACAAAAACACGGCCGCCCGCCGCAGCTCGCGGACCCACTAAGTGTACCGAGGGACGGGAGGGACAGAGCAGGAGTCGCCTGCCGGCGTTAACCGCAAGTCGCAGGAATTGTATGCAGAGGCAGAGAGAGAGAGAGAGAGAGAGAGAGAGAGAAGGAGAGGGACACAGACCTTCGACCTTTGCAGAAGAAGCGCCAGGAAATGGGGGAAAACTCAGACAGGGAAAGACAACGGAGACTAGTAGGGTTCAAAAAAATTGAAGTGGGTGTTTCTGTAATATCGGCAATAAATAAAGGGTGATTATGAGATTCGAACTCCGGAAGTGGGATTAGCTAATCTGAGGATTAGCCATAATTTCCATGCTTCATCGGGCACTTTTAACTCCTTTGTTTTCGTGACTTTTTGGTCCAATCGAAATACTCATACGCCTACTAAAATCGGTCGAATGCCTTGAACATAAATTAGAATTTTCAAGATGCTGATTATACGTAATAGAAGGACGATCGATGCATCAAAATATTTATGAGATTTCTTCAATCGATAGCTTAACACGTGCCTCTACGACATTCGTTAACTTATCTGCTTATTTACACGAACAAGATCGATAATAGCCATAACAATTAAAAATCGATTTTACTTTGTTTTGCTCGGTGTTATTTTGTTCGGTGAACAATCTTCAATGGGTTTTTGGTTTTTCCCTTCTTTCTAGTGTCCTTATCCTATTTTGTCTGCTTACAATTAGTGGGCTTTTTAAAAATTTTGGGCTTTTTGTTTTGCTCTTCTACATGTAACTCGGGCTTTTGAAGTTTATGAGATCAAATTGGTTCTCAAGGGGTCGAAGATCAAATTGAGTGGGTGGGTCATATGGGCTAAGTAAAAAAATTTAGTATATACAAAAGAATTCGAAATAAGAAGCATATAACCCCACCAAGGTGCTTTAGGAATCATCACTCCCTGAATTATGGGTGAGTGTTGATCCACTAACCTAATCTCAAGAGTGAAATCGTTAGTTCATTCAAAGCCCAAACACATATAACAAGTTTTTAAAATCGTGCACCGGACTTGGGCTCCATTCGTTTCGTGAAACAAACTTTCGGGAAAATGTTTTCCGGATTTTTCAGTATTCGATTCACGGAAAATAAATTAGTCAAGGAAAATATTTTTCCCCAATGAATAAAATACCTTCAAAAGTGGGGAAAATGAAAAGAGAAAATCCTTCCTACACATTTTTATTATTTTTATTTTTTGAATTTTTTTATGTTTCTTTTCTTTCTTCCTCTATTGGTCACCGCCCATGGCGACGGTCGGCGACCGGCCATAGACAAAAGATGAGCTTGCTTGAGGTCAAGCCGAGGCCAAGCCTTGCCAAATATGGCTAGGTGAGGCTCGGCTCGACCTCGCCCGGCCGAGCCTTGCCAGATCTGGCGAGGTGATGCGAGACTCAAGCTCGGCGGCCTTCGGTAATCTCGTCCCTCTCCTGTGGCCGATCGTCGGCCGTTGCCATGGGCGGCGACTAGCAGAGGAAGAAAGAAAAGGAAAAAATATTAAAAAATTCAAAAATAAAAATTTCGATTTTTTGAAAAAATTACAAAAATTGTTCACGTTAGCACCAATCATACCACGAAGGATGCTCAAGTCCACATCAACAATTTCCGACCAAACAACGACTTTAAAAATCAAATGAGATTTTCCTTAACAAACGGCGGAAATTATTTTCCAGTTCATTTTCAAGTCTTAGTCGAACATTGGAAAATATTGTGCTGGTTACATTTTCCAGTTCACTTTTCGGAAAATATATTCCAAAAAAGTTACATTTTCCGTGAAACTAATGGAGCCTTAGAGTGCGTTCTTAGAATTATATAGATACCCAAAAAAGGTTTGGGATAAAAGTGCTGGTTAATTTTTTAATGCATCTTAAGCAGCCTGTTATACTTCTCGAGGCATAAAGTCATCTTGGTTGTCTCGGTCGATTTGCTTCGTACTCTAATTTCTTTTTTTTCTTTTCATTTTATCGAGGCATAACGAATCATTTTTCTATTAATTCGATTGTTTTGGCGTGGTTCCGATTCATTAGAATATCATGGATCGTCGCCACAGGAGCGTAGTGATATCTCTCTAGTGCAGTTGCCAAAGACTGGTAAGTACGGTCAATACGAGTGGCTTGACAAAGAATAGTCCGCGAGCGACTTGATAACCACGCGATGTTGAATCCTTCCTCCCTCTCTATTCTACATTCTATATTCTATATTCTTGGGAAACAAGAAAAGTCTTCAGTGATTGTCACGTGGCAGCGCTTCTTTTCGCGAACGAATTGTGCAATTGGCTTGTTGGGTCGAGCAAATCATGAGTGTGCGCTCTTCGCTCAAAAACAAAATCTCTTTAGGTATTCCTACGCTTATTGCGGAGGTGGACTCGAAGGCTGTCATTTCCCTTCTTTGGAAATCAACGTCCATCTCTCTCGATCTTGGTGAGATTCTCATTCCTCGGATTGGGAAACTGTTACGGTATTTTTAATAGATCCAAATTGTACATATTCTTTTTTGGAAAAAAATAAAAAATCCGTGTGCATATCGGTAAACAAATCGGGTCGTCCAATCCCGTGATGTGAATGATAATCTAATTTTAGATAAGTCGTTGAGAGATGTTACTTTTGCGAACTAGAGATTCATGAATATGGGAACTTGATTAGCTCTGACGTCCTTTCGGTACTTTATCCTCTTTATTTCAAAAATGTTTGTAATCTTTGTGGGTTTTACCTATATTAGAGGATCTGGCTCAAGTTTTATTAAAGAGATTAGTAGTGTGGCACTCGGACTTTGCCCTTTCATTTGTCCAAAATAGGAAAATGTGTCTCAATTAATTGGGGTTTGTTGACACAGCGATCATTCGCTGAACACAGTCAGTATGACTGACCTTTTCCTCTTTTGGGACTGACACATTACCTTGTGCTCCTATTTATCTCTCTCTGTCTCTCTCTCTCTTCAAGCTGCTCTTGTTGCTGCTTCCTAGACTGTTTGTTGGTTCGGTCAAAGTCCTCGGCCATGAATTTCAAGAGGGTTGCGCTGATGTTGTCTGCACTCCCGCTCCTGGGCTGCGCGGTTATGCAAACTCTCCTTCATCTACTGAATCCTCATGATCAGTCTGCTTCGGCAGCTGGCGTCACGGACGGCGAGAAGAGCCATACCTCGAACGATGGCGCGAACGAGAATGAAGACGGGGACAGCGAAGATGGTGCTAAGCGTTCGCAGAATGCCGTGGCGCAGAGGCATTTCCGACAACCTCAACACATGCGATGCGCCTGATGATCGGTCCCCGGATGGTAACTTCTTGAAGATGAGAACCCTCTGGTCCTTTGTACTATCGAATCATGTGACCTTTGTGATTTAGCTTATCTCGATGAATGCAGTGGTTTCAGTATGATTATAACATGTATGAGCTTTCGTATGTTTAGGGTCCTGATATAATATGAAACCAGAAAGATTCATGATGATATGATACGATCTTTATGTTTACTTGTTGCAAGTCCGGTGCTCTTTTTTTCTTCTAGGGTCTTGAATTATTAGAGTGTTGATTGATCTTTGCGGATTCTTTGATGATGGTGCTTCTGCTTTTCCTTGTCATTTAGCAGACTAATTTATGTACAGATAATCGACGTCTTCCGCCGTTTAACCCGTGAAATCAAGGAGTAAAGTAAACAGAGGCTTTGACTTTTCAATCACAATTTCACAAAGTTTGGATCTCCTCGACCTGTTTTTGCTCATTTGATTAGGTCGGGATAGAATCGGTAATGTTGTTTCGAGGTAAAAACATGAACACCGGTATCAAATAGGAATTATAATCAATCATAGCTTGAATGGTTTGTAAAGGAACCCTACCTTCTCCAATCCATTCGACACGTACAATTTCTTTTCCTTCGATGCGACCTAGAATCTGTACTTGAATTTCTTTTGTATCTATATGTTCGGTTAATTCAGTAGCTTTTTTTTTTATTGCTTTGCGAAATGAAACTATATTCTTCGATTGTTCGGCTATGAAATTTGCTAGAATATTAGGGTGCTCATAAGGGTATGTAATTCTTATAATAGGCTTAATAGCAATATCGAGTTTTCGGTTCACACGACTAGATTCTTTTCGAGAACATGTGGCAAATCACATGATTCTTCTCTGCAGTTTTCATTGGAAAAACTGGGAACCGATGAAAATGAGCATATCGGAGTCAATATTTAATAATCCGAAATTGAGCAACCATATGAACACCAGGATAGCTCCATTATTAATTGTGCTGTGTTGGTCATCCCTTTTTCCACATATAAGGCCAAATATCACCAACTTCTTGCAGTCTAATCACCAACTTCTGTCCGCCACATTGGATTTGGTGAGGCTCCACTCCCTTGGGTCTGGCCGTGCATCTGTTGGCGCAGCCGCCACTGCCGCCTGTAGTAAGGTGTCCGGTACACATTTGAGTTATCATCTGGTATATACACTCATTGAAAATTTGCGCAAAATCTCGTTATCTCACCCCCAATAGTCCAAGTTCCTGCACTCGCCATCCCTGACGTCCCCGGAAGTTACAATTTCCTCGACAATCCTAGCTGAACATGTCACCAGGAGAAGAGTTCGAACTGTGCTATAGTCATTAGTTCTTTCTGAGTTGTGTTTACCAAGCAATTTGGCCAGATTATATTGCACATAAGTCGACTACGACTACTTTATGCGTGTGTCGCTCATTTAAACATCTAATATTGCTTCATCATTTGTTTAGCAGGAGGATCAGGGAGGAAGAGAAAACGATTCTGAAAACAACAATCTGATTTGTGTTATGGAGGGGAAGAGAAGGAGGGAAAGAATAAGGATGGATTAGGAGAGATTAGGAGGGATTGTTAGAATCATTTTCGTGTAGATTTTATATCCCCTCAAGAGGGATTTGTAGGAATTAGAAGGGTTTTGTGTATCAATGAACAAATTTTTTCTTCTATAACTTATGTTATAGCTCTGTCTAAATACATAGAAGGTTATTTTGTCACAATATTTTCTTTTCTAATCAACCCTACTTGCGATGTGATTTCGACCGAAAAAGCCAACTCGATTAAACGGAACTTGTTGATTGCATCTCATTAAAAAGTTAAGGGACGATATGATTCATTCAACCGGGAAGTTTTGAGACCGAATCGCACCATCTGTGTGCACGTTTTAAGCACTTGATGAATTCCTAAAAATGTTTTGCTGAAACCATACTATGTTGGGATGAATGTACATCAACCTACAGCATGCCTGAGTTTTGGTCTTATTCCGGGGACCTTAAAAGCACATGCTAATGCTTGTGGAAGTACGTCTTCCAAATCACCCAGAGAGGAAAGAACTGCATGAGTTGCTGTAACCAGAATTGGAATATGGATCACCTGATCACTCCATCACTAGACCAAACATCAAGAAACTCATGAAGAGGTGTGCCCAAACACATGCAAATGATGCAAAATAATAGCTACAACAATGTTTATTGTTTTCACAACATAATAGCTGGTGCAAATCATTCCTGCGTTTCGGTAATCAAATACAGCTTCTGGCCCTCACTTATCATGTTCGTGTCGAGAACTTTACCTGCATCTTCAGATAATATACAAGAAGCGGACGGAACATTTAACTGCTCCAATGCATTTCTTATGAGCTCCTCGATATTGTCAGGGACCCACAACACTATCCCATGTCTTCTATGCTCCTGAGGATCCCAAGGATGAAAAGGGAACACTGTACATTTTCTTGAATGCAATTTATCTGTAAAAAATTAACAGGTGAATAGTTCGCATCAGGTAATAAACTCAGACTAATCAATGTCTATATGATATTTCTTCATTTCTTTCCTAGGATCTTACACACATCCTAGCAACTGCTAATAAATTTTGCAGGTACCTGCGGTTTCCCTAGGGCTGTGCTGAAACTCTGACATTTCGGAGGATTTTGCAGCTTCCAGCAGCTTAATCAAATTTTTGTTTCCACACTTTCGACCTTCGTCGAGAGGTGTGTTTCCCCATCTGCGTACACGAAAGAGTGAAATGATAATTGCATCTGTGAGATCCCCGAAAAAAACTAAATTAGTTCTATAAGATGTTTAAAGCATCAGATCATTCGGAGCGAGGAACATGGACACTGAAAGTCTGAATATACCTGTCCTTCAAGAAAACACTAGCCCCTGCTTCTAGAAGCAGCTTTGCAATCAGATGTAGCCCTTCTGAGGCAGCTATGTGAAGTGGGGTTCGGTGATCGTAATCTTTGGAGTTAGGATCTATGCCATTAGACAAAATTCTTCTAAGAAAATCGGAATCACCCCTTGCCACGGCTGTACAAAGAAAACTACCAGCATCATCTATCCTTAGAGATGCGCCTTCTCTAACAAGTAATGAGGCAATTTGATCATTTCCATTCTTGATAGCTTCTAGAAGGGCCGTGTTCCCAAAATTATCTACAACGAAATCGGCTTTGCGATGTTAGTGTGAAAAAAGGTATCCAATACAGTTGAAGAAGGACAGAAGAGCCAGTTTACATTGATGAGGAAACGAACCTTTCGTGTTGACATCCACTCTCTCTTGAACAAGAAAAAGCACAATATCCTCGTAGCCTCTCGCTGCTGCAAGATGCTGAAAACAGAAAGACTCATTTCAAAATTCCAAATAACTTAGAATTAGAGAACACAATATCTCCACATTGAAAGGTGGCCTTCGCAAGTTAAATTTGATATATCAGAGTTTCCTGGCTATCATGTAGATGGTGTTAGATATCTATCTAAAAACCTTGAACCTCGTTACTAGATCTTGTGGTGAGTGTAAGGTGAAGATTGCAAAATTTAACAAGTTGAGAAGTGGTAAAAAATGCAATGGATGTTCAAATTTCAATTTCTGTACAAAGAGATCTAAACAATTAGATGTACTTGTCAATAATTACTCATTCCTACTAATTTCACCACAATCCTCATTTCCTTGACCTTACACACACTTGCATTGAAACATCAGGAACACCTTCACAAGACCACACTGATGATACAAGCGGATTAAAAGTTTATCCTCTGTGTGATTTGGTTCCAGTCACATGATAAGGACATGGAACTGGGACAAATTAAAAGAGAAGTAATTCGAAAGCCCAATTCCTACCAGGGGTGACCTTCCATCATAATCTGTCTTGTTGAGATCAGCCCCTGCTCTGACTAAACCTTTTAGCTGATAGAGGTCTCCATGAAAGGCTGCACTATTCACCCTCAAAGCAAGTTCTGCTTCTTGCTTTCCAATATGAAATGTGATGTCTGACTCCAATTGCTTGAGTCGGAGATTAGATTCCCTTACCTGCAAGCATATACAATGTAAAATTCCTATATGACTGTTGTAATGCGATTCACAGAGCATCTGATAACTTTGAGAATCTTCTATTAATGCAATATTTCAAAAATGGATTTCACATGCAGAACTGAGCAACACGAGCGCAAACACATTTTTTTTTTTAAACATAACTACATTACCTCTAAAAGGTTGTTTAAAATCTTTCTCCCGTCATAAAAATATATCTCGAGGATATATGACAGAGACTGTTTATCAATCCGCAGAAGCTGACATAGTTCACAAACTCGGACTGTATAAGGCTGAGGAATGTTGCAAAGAATGGAGACTTGTCCAACTGAGCTGTTAGGCCGTAAAAGTGAAACAGTTTCTTCAGATCCATCCTCTCCTATGCCAACCTCCTCCTGTAGAAGTTCATCTTACCAAATCATAAGCTGTAGCAAACACCATAATGTTCCCATCCAACCAGCTGAACGAAAACGTGGATGTTTATGGTAAATGAGATACAACCATCAAGCCGACTAGAAACAATTTAGGTAATGGCAAGTTCATGGTGAACTATGTAAGCTATTGTTTATTATCACTGTAATCTGGAGATGACTTCTCGGGAGATGCAGAACAAGGAAAAATCATAAATGCACTGAATTTGCGAAACACAAAACTTAAAGGCCCAGAAGTAATTTGATTTTGTCAGGACCAATAATACAGCAACCCAAAGAGTGCAAGGGAATGAAAAAGATCGGACAATCAAAGAAAAGTTTCTAGATGTAGAGGTTTAACAAAGACCTTTAATAGTAGAGAGTGATTGCTCAGAAAGAGAGACAAATGATAAATGTTAAAGAAGCCCGAGGTTACAAAACCATACCAGCAGACCATGACAAACAAAATAAAGCTGATCCACCACGTTTCCTTGCTCCATTATCACTTCCCCTGGGAGAAAAAATTCTTCATGGAGCTTAATTACCTGCAAACAAGACATAATGATGACTTAACATTTACTCGGCTAAAAGTTGTCTATTAAACACTGTCAGTTCTCACTTTGACTATTTCCCAATGGTGTATTCAGCGCCATGTTCTTTTTATTCTGCCACCCTACTAGCTTGCAATTGATATTGACCCACCCACACCAATACCAAGTCCTTTCGATGCCCAAACTCCTATAGTCGTTGAAATGCTGAACACCAAGAGGATTCAAAATCCTCTAGTTGTTAGCTTCTCTTTAAACATTTTAAGTGTGGGACAACCAAATATCACGTCGCTTATCTGTCCATGTAGCTTAACTATCTGTTGGTATAATTATGTCAAAAGGGAAGGCAAAGAATGTGAATGGTTATATTTCTGGGTTGTTTATCATATCGAAGGCTGTAGGCAAAACTATACCCATTTTTTATATAATGACTTGGAACGATTCTGTTTTATTTCACCTTCTGTCAAATCGAACATAAGCAGCATATAATAAAATAGGAACTCACGACTTGGTTAATGAACTCAGATGAGCATCCCTTGAAAAGAGGAACCTTCTCTATGTATGGCATATACAATGTTTGAGCGATCTGCAGGGAATGAGAAAATAGCTCTTCAAGATATCTGGCAACCATAGCACAAGAGAAAAACATCTTTCTATGGTAACAATTGAACTCCCCATTGTTGTGTAAAATTATATTGTGAGCTAATCCTAAATCTTTGAATTCGGCATGCTGTATATATTAGAAGATACTGAGCTTGCTAATATCACTAGAATGGAGTCAGAAACGCATTTGATTGGTGAAACATACGATACTCCATATTTCCCTAATTAGAGGCCATTAAAGTAAATGACAGCTCCCAAGTACTCGTAGGATACTAAATAAAGAAGCATGTCAGCAAGTTCCAACTTAAAGGCGAAGATTCTAGACAGCCAGAAATAAAAGGATGCTCTGATAGGTAACAATCACTAGTTGCATGTTACCTTTGCACGGATGGAGATTGGGATATCCTGAATAACAGCAGCTTCAGTATAGCTACTTTCATACTGCAAACGTAGGTGGCCTTTGATCTGATTACGAATATCCCTTCCAAGTTTGTTCCGGTTCATATACTTTATGAGATCTGTCATTTTATCCCTGAATTTCTCAGTTTTTGATCCTTTGACAATCAAAGCTGTCATGTTGCCAATCAGGTAGGCACCAAGAATCATGTCAAATGACACATAAATCATTATAAATATCATTTCCCTCATATTGACTGCATGTATGTCTCCATATCCTGTTGCAGGAAAAGCACACTCGTCAGCTGCCTTGTGAAACACGTAAGAAATGAAGCATCTTAGTGGATGAATGTAATAACAGTTATGCCATGCCAAATGCAGATCCCCGTTGAGGAGGGAAGTTGGGATGGTTGTCAGACATCACATACACAGCCGATATCCCAATATAAATTACTTTAGGCAAATTAAAGAATTTTAACGAATGAAATAGCTATTCGAGCAAAGGCTTGTCAGAAAAAAATAAAGAAAAGATGGACAACAAGTCAAGGGGATGCAACAATGAACATAATAAATTAATCAAGTCAAAGATTAAACAGTGAAAAAATGTCCAGAAAAAGAATTTTAACAATTATGCAAGTAAAAGAACAATGGAATAGCAATTCAAGCAAACGCTTGTCAGAAAAAAATAAAGAAAAGATGGACAACAAGCCAAGGGGATCAAACAATGTACATAATTAATCAATTTCCTTCTACAATGGATTGCCCAAGGATGACAGATTTTTCCCCAAAAGCAGCATTTTGGAGAAGATATAACTTGGAGAAATAATGGACTAATGATGCCCAGAGCTTTTCATAACTTTCACACTGTTTCTTTCGGCTTAGCTGTATAGATGCGTAATTAGGTCCTTTCTTCTTCTTTTGTAAAATAAATACAATATTCCTTTGATATAGTTTATTGAATTTACTAACAAATGCCATCATCGGGCATTTGTTGCAGGTTTACTTCGTGTTAGCATGGCTCGTTGCAGGAATGACTTAGGATTGGTGGCCGAATCCTGGATTATTCCTGTCCAACCACGAAGTTTTTTAAAGTTTTGGCTTGGCGGACTCGGAGTGAAGCTCGTTAAGGATGGCTTGGCCTAATCCCTAACCCCTTCTAATTGACTTGGTGCCAGCTCTGTCCTCTTGACATGCGGCAACCTGTGATTGGCTCATGTCCTCATGTCCCCCTGACACACGGCAATGCATTTACTGCTGATTCCCTACAACTCCTCCATACTGCCATTGAAATAGCTTTCGATATTATTGCTCATTAAGCTAGTTATTAACATTATGCTTCTATTTCTAGCATATTTTTATTCAAGGAAACAGCCAAATGATATTGCCCCTTGAACCAATATTCATGGAAAAAAAGGACAAAGCACCCGATTATTCTGCATTCCCTGACCCAGTACACATATGCTATCATCATTATCATTATCATGCAGAGACTCATTGTTCCCATATTTGACCTAACTAAGTCAGAGCTGTCACCTATAGTATCAATTAGACCTAAAAACACTGTCATACAAATAAATTCCCATGATAAATTTACTGATAGCAGCCCATTTTACTTATTTCAGGCAACTCTTGCCATTTCATCATTCTCTTAAAGCTGCATGAACCTCTCAGCGTAAAAGAAAGACAAAATCAAGTAAAAAGCACATCAAGAGAGGCTTGAGTTAGTCATTGCACAAAGAAGTCAGAAACATAACTTACCAACTGTGGCCATGGTAACAATGGCAAAATATAAGGATGTTAAGTACCGCTTCCATAAATCAATGTCTCTAAACTGTGAATAACTGTAATCACCCAACTTCAAGCTTCCAATCCAAGTGTACCCCTCTTCTTCAGGTGGCAGTGTAGTTGCCAAATAGTAAAAAATGCAGGCAGCCGTGTGTGTGCAGTAGAGTTCCACAGCAAGCAGTTTCACAATCCTTGTAAACAAGTAGTTAATTCGTATGTCCTTTTCCATATCTTGGAAAAATTCTGTGACTTTGCGCACTCGGCTCAACCTAATCCATAAAAGGTATCTGACTTCTTCTTTCCTTCCACTAGCCTGTCCAAAACAAATCTTGCAACTTGATCACATAAAGCTCTACATAGAGAATGAATGAGTCATGTTTTCTGATGAGAATTCTTTGTCACCGTTTATCTGTCTCCAGGTGAAAAGAAAATGAAAAGTCTGATATTTTCCTATTTTATATTGAGAAATTCTCCGAACTATTTCACCAGCACCAATTCGCAATATTGCATGGTTAGACGTGAATCGCCTTATGGATGTATGACACCACACCTCTCAGCGGTGTCTTTAATTAGAGCACTTGTAGCACCATAAAAAGGAGATCATCTAATAACAAGACAGTTACTATTTCTTTCAAAGTTGAAAAGTGGTAAAGTGCAATGGTCAAAGGAGAAATTCAACTGTATGGTGGTGCCTTTTGACAATATGCTGCAGCTTATGAAGTCAAGCTGCAAATTCCACTCCCAACCACATGATTCATGCATAGAAGATGCAACCCATAGAAGAAAATACTTTGGTATGGTATCGCCCTGAAAGGCTGAATATAACCTTTTCTTTTTTGGTCGAAGCTGAAGATAACTTCAAAGCGAGGGATTACCTTGTATATGATATCCCAAGGCAAGCAACCTAGAATGTCCACAATAAAACTAGATTTCAAGTACCTACAAGAAAGCCAAAGAAAAGAAGTGTGATTCATTTACACCTAATAGATGACCAAATCTTACGCTAACCCAACAAAGATTGCCCAACCTTCAATAATCTCCAAACTGGTAATAATCTGTCATTTATAATTTTTTTTAGTTACGATTAAGCTGAAAATTTTCCCTCGTGAATAGATTTAGCCCTATTCATTTCTATTTTCAGTTCTGCAAGTGTTAGCAGGTAATGGAATACTTATAGTCTTAAGTCATCTCTTTTTTATTGCTTAAATCTTAAGATTGAACTTAACCAGTAATGTTGCGTGTCGATAAATTACGTAGCTCTATAAGGCTGTGAGGAAGTCCATTTGCAAATTGTATCTAATTATCACATTGCAATTATTAGAGTGCGTGTAAAAAGTAGACAACAGATAGAGAACTAACCGTAGAGCAATAGGCGTGCGCTTGTAGACCATTCGATAGGTCTGTGTGTCTCTGTAAGCAAGCAAGAACTGCAAAACAATGTCAAACAGAAAAGCAACCTGTCCAATAATGTCTAATATGAAGAGGTTCTCCGGCAATCCCCTGAAGAAGCCAAACTCCAATGGTGTGAAGAAGGATGAGTAGATAGCCCACAGAAGTATGAATTTTTTCCAAGCCCGATAATACCTGCATCGTGTCTCACAATTCAACCTCAGTGCATATATAGATAGCTAGAAAATTGGACGGCCTCATTCATGCACAGAAGAAAGCTGATTGATCACTCGAGTCCACATGCAATTGACTAGCCAAAAGTAAAAGCTCAAAGCTTAAGGCAATCTCAATGACTAGAAAAGAACTATCCGAAAAGAGTAAAAATGCACAAATACACCAATATGTCTATTGCCAAAAGAACAAGCTGTGTTCCTGTTTATATACCAACATGATTTAAGGCAAGTACACGTAGAGAATCCAACCTGAGGGGCTAATAAAGCTTATTTCTACTAACTGCCGTAAGGAAATGATTATTCTATTTTCCATAGCATTGCTATTATACCCAACACAGCATTGAGCATCCGGTAAACTCATGGACCAGTGATGAGATCAAAGCAAGAAGGGCACTAAGGTACAAGTGCTACTCTATTTAAAACCTAAAAGCTTGTAACCATTTGAGCTTATATTTGTTACTGACTTGAAATGTCGACTGTAGATAACCAAAGTGCCCAATTTGCAAACGTTGTATTGATAATCTCATACATTTAACTTCAGGGCTGTAATCTGACCAATGCATGGGCCCATCAATACCTACTTGTGATTATGCAAAATATCTTTGCAATTCCGAAATGTTACATTGTCCATGAAAAATCTAGAGCAACAAAAACTTGAAGCTACTAACTGTTTCGCATCATTCACAGTATACTAGTACATAATAAGGAGGAGAAACCAATTTTGAAGAAAGAAGAGAATACCGATATAGGAGGAAGTGTCTATAGAAGTGATAAAGCGCCTCTTATTGTACAGTTTCAGAGGATATGGAAGGGTAAAAGTACAGTGGCAGAACATCGCGGACATTGTCAAATTGACACAATTTGTGCCAATAGTACGAGGCTCTGTCACAGAAATTCATAAGGTAGTCCTGACATGATCGACCAATGCTCATCCCCGAAGGATGCCAAGCCCTCAGCAGTGAGAGGGTCAAGAGTGTTTGATAATGTACCAGCATTTAGTAAGTACATCTAAATAAAAACATTTTTACAACGTGTTATGCTTATTGCCATATTAGCAATGTTCTATTTTCACCTTGGACTTTTACACTAGCCAAAATAGTTTCTTTGTTTTTTTCTTCCCGATACCACAAGTTGAAAACTCATGTGGTGATAAATCTCAGTGCAAATGTTTTCTTGGCGAGTATATAACTTGAACAAATTGTATAAATTTAATTCCTTGAAAGTCTTATGTTTTAATCTTGCTATTGCAACTAAGACTAAATCGTTAAAGAAGTGATAAATGGCTAACTATTTAATATTTCAAAGTAGATTTTAAAAGCCAGTCAAGTCTTATTATTCACAATGGTTTTTCATTTCCAAAGAACTAACTTGAAAGATTGATAACGGCTTTGTCAAGAATAAAATAAACTTTAAAATTCAGATCCTATCTGTCAATTCAATCTCCGTACACAAGTAAATAGAATCGATCTAACAGCGCGGATTTCAAGTCAGTTAGTCTAAAATCAGCTTCTCCTAGAATCAACTTTCGATCCACTTGTATCATGCTCTCTTAACCGAAGAAGTTGACCAAATATCATACCAAAATTTATTTAAATTTTGAGGCAAAAATATCCCATTAAAAATTTAGAATAGCTAGGCAACCACTTCGGCGTACAACCAATATTGTAAGATCAACTACATATGAAGATATATCGCCGCTTACAAAGCAGTGATGTCATCGCATCTCGTAAACAAATATTTTTGTAGCTCCCGAGCGATTTAAGCTTCTTAGGCCTGTCTATTTGGACTTAAACAGAAACAAAAAGTACTCTTCGACTGACTTTTTGTCGGAATTTAATATATCATCTAATTTTCAGAAAATCATGAAAAAATTATTTATAAATCTATACGCGAACAATTGAGAGTTATTAAGTAAGTGCGCAGGCTGCGAGATTTAAATCGAGCAAAAAAAATGACATGCCAAAGCCAATTCGAAGAGCTGCAAATTCCCTTAGGATATCATTTCAGGGGTCCTGATGCTCTGACAGAAGATCGCATGTGAAGGCACGTGCAAACCAATGGGAAACCGGGAGAAACCGTCCTTCTTCGATCAGGAAACGGCAAAGACAGAGACAAGAAAGAGAACGAAATCAAGCAGCCGGGCACGCATTTGTCGTCAAGGCAGAAATATGGTGACTCCACATAGACGAGGACAGCTAAGTTGAGCATCGTCGCACAAGTCACTAAACCAGCTGAACTATGTGATGCGATCCTCTGATAACGATGTGTCCCATCTCTTATAACTTATCATAAATATAAAAAAAATAGAGAAAAAATCCCATGTCCGCCCGAGAATCTGCTTCGAAAATGGGGTATTCACAGACACCAACGTGAGAAATGTTCAAAAGTTATCAGATTTACCGGAAAATGGAAGATAAACGTTGTTTATTTTACACCCATTTTTACCAACGAAGGCCCAAATCACAGGCTTATATCGGAGCCCGTTTTGAGTCTTTTTTATTTCTTCTTTTCTTATTATTATTTCTCGAAACATGATAAATAGTAAAGATTTAATATTACAAAAAATCAGTATACATGTGATAAATTTAACTTCTATTATAATTTATGGACCTCCATTATTTGTAATTTTTTATTATATTAACTTAAGTTAATAAAGATTAATAGAGATAAATTTAATTTAAAGTTTTTGAAAGTGTACCGTTCTGATGGTCAAAAAATCATGACTCGTCAGTGTTTTTCGTCAGTGGTTCGGATTTGATAAGCGACGTCAGCGAGAAACTGGGGCAACTGCTGTCCGTCCGATGGGATGGAACCGAAGCCAGGTGTCGTGCGCATCGAGACCCCTAACGTAACTGCCCACGGAACGCCCCAATAGGCAGCCGCCACGTGTACGCCAGAAAAAGACGCGACCAATGACCACCATTTTCGATCGATCAGATCACCGTCTCTATCGAGTCTATCCACTACGCGTCAAAATCGAAAACCGATCCCGCCGAATTTGAACCGGGATCAACGCGAAACGAAATCATCATCAATCATTGTTCATCATCATCATCGTCAGATTCGTCACTCCCCCTGAGATTTCGAAATGATGATGCGAAGATCGCCATGCACACAGACCGCCATGATCGAGAGAATGCACAGAAAGTATGCAGAGAGAGGATGCAGAGATGGTGACCTGTTCTCGGGGTGGATGACGAGGCCCCTGGAGAGGTCCCTGATGCCGCCGATGACGGACTCGCGGCTGAACTTCCGGCGAGCGGCGGAGTCGAGCCCCAGCTCGTTGGTCAGGAGGTCGAACCGGCTCCCCCTCGACGATTTGATCCGATCCCTCAGCTCCACCACCTCGTACTCCGCCTCCTCGTCCTCCGATCCTCCTCCTCCTCCTCCCCCGCCGTCGTTCTCCACCCTTCCGCGCGTCATCTCCTCCTCCCCTCCCCGTCTACTTCCCTTCCCCCAGTGGAACTCGCGACGCTGCTTCCGATTCCGGTCCCCTGCGGCGCTCGATCGCCGCCGCCACGCCTCCCTGCACGAAGGAAAGGGCGAAAACAAGAAGCATCTGAGGACGCGAGGATTCCCATGGCGGAAACGGAAACGGAAACGGAGACTCGATGTTCTCGATAAGGCAAAGACATTTCGGCGAGAGTTGGCAAAGCCAGACGCGACGTTCCTCCTCAAAAATTTCAATGCAAAGAGGACAAAAAAAAAATCGAATGCGGCAACGAAAGTTGAAAAATGCCGTTTTCACCTTATCCAAAACGTATGCACAACTTTCTCGAGTGACGGCGAGAGAGGGAGAGAGAGGGAGCGAGAATCACGGGAAAAAGCGGGGAGGCAGTTGCGTCGAACTTCACGAGACGATGGCCGGCCGTGTGCGTGCGCGCCCGCGCCCCAACAGCCCACCATGCAATCTGGCTCAGCCGTTTTCCCTCCACGCACGCGCGAAGGTCTTTGGGGATCAGTATCAGCAGTGGAGGAGGGGGGCAACTTTCTCGGGAAAACGAGAGGGAAAACGGGTTGGAAAATTCTCAGAGAGGAAAAGGCAGGAACGTCCGATCCGAGGAGGTGAAGAGCAAGCGCTGCGAGCGTTACTGTGCGGTTATATATATACACGTAGAAGAAGCCGCCATCCATCCATTGCTGACGTAAGCGTGGGAATTTTATTTATATTTATACACACTATTCAATTTATTAAGGTTGAGGGATGGTGTCATATGATATGCTGATCTCATATAGTTGTACTGCCAATTTAATTAAGTCTTATTTTTTTCATTGATTATTGATTACCAAGCGATGGTAAAATTAAGCATGTATCATTAGAAAATTGGAATTACTTAAATGGTACGCGACACGTGTGATCAGCGTCGCGGAACGTGCTTTGCCGTGTCGAATTCGGGAATTTTTCTGACTATTTATTTTGCGAAGATGTATTTTGTGAATTGGATTATGATGATAACTTGATAAGTGAAGAAGATATGTGCAAGATGGCGGCTCTCAAAGGGGTTGGACTGAACGTGGGGATAGACATTTTCTTATTTTGGGTGGTTTTGCCGGGCAGACGATGAGTCGTAGATTGGATGGAATGAGTTTAATTATTGGGGGGTGGGGCTGGCATTTAATAACATTGATCTTGCTTGATCACTTGGCTAATCCAAGGATTAAATTTTTGTAATGAAAATGATGAAATAGGCTAGCGTGATCCTCGTGTGTGACAATCTATTGAATCTAAAATTAGAGATTTTGGGTTTGACTAAATTATCAAGTTCCAAGGCCTTGCTCCCGTCATACCGAGTTTTGCACAAGCACATAGAACTGGGCAATACGGCGAAAGCCCGTGATAAGCCGGTTGCCTTCAGCATTTTCAAATATTTTTTCCGTAATTACTAAAATTCACAAAAACTAGCATATGTGACAATTTTACCCTGAATTAAAATTTTAATATTATTTTTTATTTTTTCGAATTTTTATTTATTTTTTATTATATCGCTCGAGCTTTTCTTTTTTTTTTTGCTGATCAGATTGCTAGATTGCCACCAATTTTTAGTGCCACCACACTATACTGTGTCCAGTAGATGCGGCAAAATGGGTTAAAAAACCCATATTTTAACTCTTATATAATTTTATGGGTCATAAATGACCTGGCTTTAATTTTAAAGATAAACTTAAATAGAGATCATGGATGGGTTATTTATTGTGTCTTATGTATGTCATAAATGGGTTGATTTTAGTAGTGAATCATAAACGTTTCATTTGTAATTTTTTTTAGTTTTATGATTTTTTCAAATAATTTTTTTCTTTTCTTTTCTTTTTTTCCTTTTTCTTTTTCTTTTTCTTTTTCTTCTTCCTTAGTCAGTGGCCAGCCGTAGCGTGGGATGAGCTCGCTAGCCTCGACCGAGCTCAAGCTGGCCAATTGGGCGGGGCCTCACTGAATTCTGGTGAGACTCAAGCTCGCCGGCGTCAGGTGAGCTCGAGCTCGGAGGCGAGCTTGTCTGACGCCGTAGCCGGCGATCGTCCGATGAAGAAGGAAAAGAAAAAAAAGAAAAGGAAGAAAAGAAAAAAAGAAAAGAAAATTGATTTTTTTAAAAAATAAATTATTAAAAGGAGTGCTGGTCACCAGACGAAGAAGAAAAAAAGGAAAAGAAAAATATAAAATATATGAAAATCCGATTTTTTTAAAATGATAAAAATTTGATCATGCTTCTAAATATTACGGGCGTGGCCTTTCATAGGCACGAATATAGACATACCTGCCACAAGCCTTGTCTTCGTCTTCCCTAATTTGCATCTTAACACCTCTTTACTAGTATATTTTTAAAATTTCATAAGAAACAAGTTTTTCAAAATTTAATTTAATATTAAAGTCTTTTAGCAATATGGATCGAGTCGAGTATGTGTTGGGTTAGGTTTAAGTTAGATTTGCACAACATGAATATGGATCAAAACTAGTTAAATGGATCGGATCACTTTCTACCCAACTCGACTCACCCGTCTGGCACCCTTATTGTCCGATAAACAAACCCTAGCAAGTGATTGATAGACATCACATTTTGTTTTGGCTCTACTCAACATGTTAACCAATCCCATAGGCCAGTGTGCTTATACGGATGAGTCTAGTAGCTATGATAGGGGTTCGTGTTTGTGGCCGCTGTTGGTTTTAATAGAGTACATAGGTTATCTTTATCTTATAATAAAAAAGTCAAAGTTTGATGACTCTCTACCCACTTAGGCCGATGATATACCACCTACTGCATAATTTCATTACATTGATCTGTGCGATTTCGAAACACCCCTTCCATTTTGCGATGTGTTGACTATTTGGAAACACTAAGATCTACATTCTCGATAAATTGATATCAATACAAAAAAAAACCATGTTAGTTTCTAAATAATATACTTTAGCGCTAATATTACATGTCTAGCGCTAATATCCCTTCCATTTTATGTTTGTATGCCACTTGTGACTCATCCATATGTACTAAGCATATCGTATTAGAAACGCGTTATCTTCAATGTCGATAGATGATGGTGTCTTATTCCAACTATATGACCAAATAAATACGGTGTACATGTTGTAGATGATGGATGTTCTGCATTCTTGTTTCACTATGCCTTGTTTGGTTCCATTGGCAAGGAATCCAAGTAGTAACATTCCATGGACAAATGTTCCTTTCAATTGTTTCGAAGATTAAAGATAAGTTGGGCATTTTCTATGAGGACACATCCTAATCGCCCGAGCTGGAGTGTTGAGACGTGTTCTTTATTGCCATCTCTGATCTTCTCCTCTCCCGCGACACCCAGATTCAGGAAATGAGAGAACGAACGTGAATCACCGACTATGAAGAAGTTTCGAGCTAATTGCTGTGATGTTGTTGACCATCGTCGACAAGAGCCCTCGCCGCCATCCATCGGCCGACAACAACCCCCAATTCATATTAGATGGTCGTGGAATCCTAATAGTAGATTTTGTCAGGTAATCCAATTCCGCATTTTTTTAAGAAATCAGATTCAAGAAGGAGTTTCCATCTGAATTTCGTTTCATATCCAAACACAACAAAAATCCAAAACTTGAGGAACCCGATTCCGGAACGAACCAATCGAGGCCTTTTTACCATGAGCATCCACACTTTATCTAAATCTTACACTATCCATAAAAGTATAATTTAAGCAATTCTCATCATAAAGTACAAATTACTATGCATTTCCACGTCACAAGAAAAAGACCATAACAAGACAAATACAAGCCCCCATTGAGAACGGTCGCTCTCAAAATGACATCTGTCTAAATCGATGCATTTGCACATCTGTGTGCTTAATCACTTTTTGAAAGAGTCAAAAACCTATTGTATTGATTTCAATTTAGTCCTAAACTTTTTAATGATACTAATTTAGTCATAAATCTTTTGATTTATAGTCAATTTAGTCCTTTCGGTTAATTTTTGCCTGATATTGCTGGCATAAGCAGGCCGACGCTGACATGAATAAATTTTAATATTTTTTCGAATTTTAAAATTTCTTTCTTTTTTTTCTTTCCTTCCTTCTTCCTCTAGTCCGTTGCCGAGGTCTGGCGACTGGCCATAGGCGATTCACCAGCCTCTGGTGAGGCTCGAGCCCTCGCCTTTGGTCAATCGCCGAGGCCCGGCAACTGGCTTGGGGAAGAAAGATGGGAAAGAAAAAAAAAGGAAAAATAAAAGATAAATTAGAAAAAATATTTAAATATTATTAAAAATTGTTCACGTCAGCGCCGGCCATGTCACATAGGATAGCCAGCGTCTACGTCAGAAATATCTAGCCAAAATTAGTTAGAAGGATTTAATTAATTATAAGTCAAAAGATTTAAGATAAAATTAGCATAATGCAAAATGTTTAGAACTTTTTGACACTTTTCCCCTATTTTTAGGTACTGCGAAAGAACCTTCATGGGCAATCTTTATTTGCCATTAATGGCTTTTGTCCTTTTCATGTCTTAGATTTCTTTATGGCTACTAGAGAAAGGAAGCGTTGCAATCACTAAACCGTGGTCACATACCATTTTAGGCTACGATCAGTTAGTGGAGCACTTCGGGATCACAGCAAGCGAACAGCCTCCAGCAGCACGTTCGAGGTCTGAGTTTAACTACATTATATGATTGGAATACACAGCGTCAGAAACCACAGACTCTCTGTATTCAAAGGCCTCCAAGCATTAATAGTTGGTGAGGAGAGCAAAAGGAGAGACATAATGCTGCTGATGTTCGAGTCCATTAGGGCCATAGTTTAGCATCTTTTCACCACTTTCACAAGCAAACTACGTGTGCCAATGGTTTGATATAAAGCTCTGAAGCTTGAATTATGCCCACAAGTTATTTTATTTAGAGCGTCATTAGTGGAATGTTAGGTCTAAAAGCCAATGAAATTTGGCTCTCTAGGGTACATTATCTTGGCATTATATGGAGAAGTCGTGTCCACAGCAAGCTCCCGTCAGAGGCTTATCCTCCATGGAACAAAGATTTACTTCCATTGCCGCTGCTATTGAGGATTACAAAGTATTCACGTCATTGATTAGATATACCGATGGATTCTTTTAGGTTATTTTTAGTAGCCATGATAAAAATTAGTCGGTATAAAAATTTAGATGAATTCCTTCATTCGATCATGTACTTAGTTCTTGTTCAAGACACGATAAAACCGGAGATAGGAGGGATATAACGCGGATAAAAAAATCCAATGTATGGGGTGGGATGAAGGTAGATAGGATTTATTATGTCCATGATATAAAAGTGATTTTTCTCGAATAACAAATTTCTTAAGTTAATATCACTAGAATAATAATTAAATACACATATTATTTAAATTCTAATTTTAAAATAATCAAAATAACAATAAATTTCATTTTCATTTATTCCTATTTTCATTTATATATTTGTATTTCTTTCTGTTATATTATATTAATTATATGTATTAATATTTATATTTATTACATATTTAAGGTATATTAGT